CTTTCATCTCCTTTACTGCCGTCTGATGGATCACTCTAAGCAAAAGCTAAATATATACGGTAGTGATTACCGAAAGGACATGCGATAAACAGGTTACAATAACAATAAGAGTTTTGAGCCTAGCTACCAGAACCAGAGAAATTTTACTAGTACATGGAGTACCCTTCAAAACACTTTAAGGAGTGTGTATATTTCATATTTTCAACTCTGGTATTCTGACGATTTAAAAATAGGAAAGTTGATTTATCATTATTTTAAAAATCGCCGCAAATTCATCCACTCTCAAATCTGCCGTTGGTAATAAAGGAATCATCAACTTGAGCATTTTATAGACCAATTGCTTATGGGTGAAAGACAAAAGGTAAGAAATCAAAGACCCTGGCTGGAATGAAGCTTTTCAAATGCTGATAATTTTCGGTACGGATTCGTGTCGTGTATCGGCGGAGTGTGGGTAGAGACAGTTGATTATGATTTGTTCACCAAAATATACAGATCATATTCTGGCGGAATCATGAATCTGAATATCCATAATAGTAAAACGGGCTGCTATGCATATTATTAGTGTGTGTGTCCAGCTTTACATACACCCTTCAACTGGATAGGTACACCAACACACATGCCGGTATATATATAGGCTTTTTTTTATGATTTACTGCCTGCAGGCTACCAAGATATCCAAATAAAGGGAAGAAGGGTTACAGGCGGATGGTTCATCTGAATGGGTTCTCTACTTTTAATTTTATTGATTTCAGCAGAGTAATGCGTAGTTTGACATGTCATAGAGTAATAGTGTTTATACAGGGTAATCCATATTATTATTTTTTCTGTCTAAACGATATATGATAAATAGCATTTTCTGGAAAATAGGCTTGAAAAATAGAGTGCTTTAGCGTTCCACCCATTGGCGATAACACACCTGTCGTTCTGGTTTCCATGACATTGTGCAATATAAATAGCTGCTATACTGATTCTAACAGAAGTTGGCATGGATTATTTTTCGGTCACAAGTTTGAAAATGGGCGCGCTAAATTTAGTAACCAGAAAAGAAAGCAGATTCTTCAAACTGTGTGCTTACATCCTAAAAGCGTTTTCAGTGTAGATGAAAACAATCACTTTGTTTTTTAAATGTTCGTATTTATTTTTCAGTAAACATGAATAATGTAGACTGAAGGGTATAAAATTAAATGAAGAAATGGAACATGACATCTATTTTCTTGCAATATACTTGAACAATCTACTTTGAAAATGTTTGCCATTACTCATTGACGTAGAATGTAAAACTAAATAACAAATTTGTATCGTATTGTCTTCTTTTTGGTACTACCCACCCATGAATCACAAAAATTTAGTTGTTCAATAAAAGAGTTCCAGCACGGTGTAACTTAAAACTAACAACTTTTTAGGAGAGCAAAAAGAACGGTGGGCCTTTGGAGTCGCTATCGAATGATCTTATAATCCTCCATAAGCTAATAGTGCCTACTGATGAAATTCTGGCAATCACGGTGGCTTTTTCAAGCAAATACATAAGTTATTTTTTTTGCGTCTCGTGGTGTTACAACATGTCTCAAATTCCAAATATGTTAGAATAACAATAGTCGCCTTTACATCATTAGCGGAGCATCGAAATATTAGCACCCCACTTCCTGCTAGTTTCGCAGCAACACGTAAAACAATACAGAGCTCTACGATTCAGACACCTCGCCAAAAACTTTTAACGATGGATTGACGCTACTCTTCTATAGTCCATATCATTTCGCCACTACCTAAATGCTGATTGAATCACCTTAGGCGCTAATGCGACGTTGGAATTCGGTATATTTGGAGGGCAAAATATAAAGGAGGTATGTGCAACTTGGATGGCTTATTTTTGTACCTACGCTTCATAAACGTATAACGTCCAAAACACAATAGTTTTAGCGCTCCCAAATATAGCGTACGCGAACTTTAGCTTTGACATTTAAGTCATAAGAAGTCATTGAATAAGTCGGTAAACTGTCCGTGGTTACATTACTCCTGTTAACCTTTTAATTCAATATTGAAATGTAATTTTATAGTAAGTAATAATTATATTATATCACTGAATATATACATGCTAAAAATTACATTTTAAGAAGTTGGGCTAAAATATCTGCAAATAAATTAAATAAACCCGAAAAAGGGAGACCATTGTGAGCTGCTAAAACATTTATAATTTACCTCAATAAGAACTAAAAATACTAAACTTTTACGGTAGTTTCAAAAGGACATACATACAGTTAAAGAATTTTAATATACGATGAAGCTTAACCAAATGAGTGAATCCAATTAAGTCAAAATTTTGACAAAGGCTATATTGGTATTTTTTAATTTTAATTATTTTTTAAATGTCATTTCTGTGTATGTTTATGATCTATATAATATTTTGCATCAAGTAACGAATTTTGTCAAGATTTTAATCTAGGACTGTATTGGTTCTTTCTTGACGTCAATCGTCAAAATGTCATGTCTGGGTAGGCTTAGAATCCATTTTTTTTTATTTCTGAATTGAATCAGCATTTGGACTGTGTATCATATTGAAATAGCTGTTACCATTTTATGCCCTACGATATTTTTTATTATGGAAATAAAACACCCAAATGTTCATTAAATCATTTGCTTAAAGCAACAAAAAAGTGCAAGCATGTTACACATAACATTAACATGATATAATTAAAGAACTAAACTGCACTTGTAAATAAAAAATAAGGATTTATGCTTCTTGTGATGTGAATTGAAATAAAAAACAATAGCCTACAATTTTTTTCATACTTTCAAAACGATTAGGAAAGCAACAATCGCAAACAAAATCTTCTTTATCTCCGCTGTCTATTCCATCACATTTCAGGCATTCAACGTATCTTATCCTCCCTTCACCTTCATTATTATCTTTACAATAGGTTGCGGAACACAACAGGCATTAGGTATTTAAAAAAATCTGATCTATATCATTTTTTACTTTTTCTTTCCGCCTCACATTTCCCTTTATTTTCCTTTTAGTTTGCAACTGGTTCTTTAATTTCATTTTTCTTTTTTATTGGCTTTCTTTCCTTCTTTATCTGTTTTCTTTTTCGTTTCCTCGTCTAGGTAGTTTTTGTAGGCTGTACTGGTCAGTAGAGTCATGTCTCCTCTTACTCCTCTTACATTATTCCTTCTCCCTACTGTTTCTGGCATTGGTTGGATTTCCCTTGGTGTAAAGACGACAAGAGGTGGATCTAAGGCCAACAGTAACAGTTGGAGACGCTTTGGAATTAGATTCAAGTGCTGTGGTCTAAGCAGGAGATAAGAGGGCTACGAACTGGCTTCTTGGAAGAGGGAGATTGTCTGAGAAAATCTGATGGAACTACACCTGACTGCGAAATATCCTTCGTTTTTTCTGGTAAAGGCGTTTCAGGTGGAGATTCTTGTATAGGTACGTGAGACGATAATTGTGGTACTTGTGGAGATTTCAGAATAAACTCTTGCGACGAAGTTTGAAGTGTTTTATCCAAAGATTCTTGCATAAGACTGTGGTGCTTCCGACACAAATTCTGGAATATATGCTGGAGGATGAGATATTTGCACGGTTTCTGTTGATGAAGAACGTTACCGTGACGTGACGTATTAGTAATTGGAACTGGAGGTTCGACGGCGTCTTTTACCTAAATTTTTAGCGGTTCCTGTAGCTCCTTATTTTATTTTTAGCTTCAGCTTTTCTTTTTAATGCCATAACAGGCACAGAACATTCTCTACTTGCGGTTTTATAAGGCACGCCATCTTTGACGACGTTCCTCAGTCCAATTTTGACGAGTGGTTTTACGTTGATTAACTCGTGACATGATCTGTAAGAATAAATAATACTAATGGTGTAATATGATTCCACGGATCGTTTTATACATACCGAGACGGATCATTTTATCTCAAACACAAAATTCCAATCCATCGATCAAAATATAGCCCTTCAAATACAATGTGCAGTATCCAAACATTGCATAAACGTAGTTGAACATTAATGATATCCATCAACAAAACAACATTTCAGTAAATTTTAACATGCAGAAAGTAATGAAAACCGAGAAATAGACTCACCATAGATTAGAAGCACAGTTTTAATTACCTTGGAATAACACCACCCTAAGTGCTCACACCGCAATGACAATCGGAGAGACAACTGGGTTGCGGAGATGACTTTTGTTGCGTATTTGGGTAGATATAGCTAGTGGTCACTCGCATGCGGTGGAGAATTGTTTTACCTCGAGGGATCCTACTATTCGCATCTCGTTTAAATGGAAATCAATTTGGACTCCATGACACTGAATCATGTTAGATGAATCTCAATAAGACTGTGTTTGACCTTGCAAGATTATAAGAGTTTCATAATTAGGTAGATTAACAACATAAGAGGAGAAAGGCATAAAGTGAGTCTTGTTAAAGGTAGTAGAGATAATTCGATCGTCAAACCATTCTGTCATCTCCATAAAATCTCTTTCAGCAAGTATTTAAGGTCTTCCCATCTCTTTGCACTATAAAATACAGCAGTGTCATCAGCGAAGCTTACTGTGTCACGCCTGTTGGATCTCAATAAATTTGCTATTTATTTAAAATAGTTTACTTTTCAAGTGAACATGTCAAAATACCTAGGTATGTTAACTTCTAGTACATACGGGTGATAAGTTTACGCACTGCCAAACAAACGTGCGTCAATAGATCAATGTAACGCTAAACGCGAGCTTTTCAGCGCGGCAACTTGTCCCCCGTGTGCACCGGCAGTAAAGAGTGCTGTGGATGCCTTGGTACCAATTGAATTTCGGCCCACTTTCTGTCATCATACTCGGAGACACGGTCAGCGGTGAACCATTTACCGAGCGTCATTACCATTTCGTCTAATCGTCTATGATTCTGCTACAAGATGCATACTCTAATGAAATGAACTTGAGTTGATTTCAATATATGATCGATTGGTAAATGTTTGATGTTATAATTAATTCCTCTTCCCTTCTATGTAGGCTAACGAGCTAGTGGGCGGTATGAGAAGCATCGATCCTCTAACGATGACAACGGCCGAAGCAATTGTGAGAATCAAAGACGTGAACGACGAAAAGCCGGAATTCGATAAACGAGAATACTTCGTCGAGGTACCTGAGAACATCCAACAAGGAGCTGCATTGCCGGGACTCGAGATGTATGTCACCGATACAGATGAGGTAGGTTGAGTTGTCAGTTAATAGCAGATTTGCGAGGTAGATTCAACACTGGAAATATTTAACCAATCACAGATGCTTGGGTATACACAACACGCCACTAAAATAGAACCAGTATATGCTTTTCTTCCTTATTAAAGATAATTATGAAACAGAACAATTGTGCACGATGGCCCAACGAAAAAGTCGCACCCTCCTCTCCTTGTATATTTTGGGAAAAAACGCTCGAACACATCAATTTCAATTTCTAGTTAGATGTCTTTTCATCTATAACCATACAGGGTGATTAAAAATTTTCCCTGAAGAAGTAGCCAGTCCACGAGCGCTTTGGGTGTTGTCAAACTGGTCGATTTTCTCGATGGCGATTATGGCGAATATTACATACCTGTACAGATCCAGTTTCTTCAAATTTTCTTATCAACTTAGCCACATAGTTATCGTTAACCGGTCTGTAGTCGCGCCGGGTTTGACTGACCCATATGCTTCTAAAACCTACCACTGCGTATTGTATATGTGACAACACTGCCCAATGTCTCCTTCCCACTACCTTCCTATAGTGTGATGAATATTATACAGGGTGACTTTGAAGTTGAGTCATTAATTTTCAGATAATGATTGTAGAAGGAAGATAAACCAAAATATGTGTGTAAAAATAAAAAAAAAATTAAAAAAAAATTTTACCTTGTTTTATAAAGTATCCTCCCGACAAGTATTTCAGTGCGGACCTGTATTTGATCGTGATGTCCCCTGTGAGGTCTTAAGTCACCTGATTCACGAGCCCGTTGTACTACATTAACAAAGGCACGAGGGGTTGGTTGCACTCGATTGGGAAACCGATCCGCATAAACATGTGCCATTTTTTATTTCGTTTGATCCACGCAACAGACTCTATTCACACGCGACTGAAACTGACTGTATGTATAACTGAACTGAACTGTAATCGTAAAAACATCGTTCCAAATTCTTTCGCTTTTTTGTTTCCGATGCGATGAACCGTTGTTGCCAAACACGAACACATGATATTATTGAGACAGGGCGGTACTCAAACTTCCAAAGGGCTATAACTTTGTTACTTTAATTTTACCAGAAAAATGGTAAAGGAAAAAAACATTTCTTTTGATCAGATCTACACACTGTTAAAATAAATGACTCAACTTCAAAGTCACCCTGTATATCTGTTGTTAGTGTCAGCGCAGCCGCAAAACCGTGTGTGTTGTTCCATGTTTTGGATTTCAGCGCGACTGAATACATATTTCTCGCAGTGTCAAGACTTATGGGGAGAAAATAGATTCTGGAAATGACAGCAATTAATTTGTCATTATTCTTTAAGTCAATGTTTCTTATCGATCATTATTTTTGCGTTCAATGTTTATTTCACTGTTTTCTTTTTCTTTATTACTACTGTTAGTTTGACATTTTGATGTAAATCTATTAAGAGGTATCAATAAACGCATTTCATTTCGTCGATGTATGAGTTGACATATGTCAACAATATACTGGTTCATGCGTTATTCTAGGCAAACGACTTTTTAATACCAAAGAAAACGGAAAGTTCGCCTGGGTCTGATAGACCCAGCGCGACTAACAGAGTACAAAACCAGGGCGCGATTTTTGTCCGGATGTAACGCATTAAACAACCGGGCAGTAGCTCTTGCAATGCTCCCATTTTGGTAATACAGTTTTGTTATGCTAAATGTTGTTGCTGGTATACACATGACTATTATTTTTTGCCGTGCGTTCCACTATTATCAGTATTAAGTTAGTCGAATTTTGTTATGCACTCAAATAGCTTCACCACGACTGAAGATAGGTATAAACTTTATTATACAAAAGTTACCAAAAACTTGAAGGAAAATCTGAAAATTAAAACATGGGGGTTTCCATTTAAAAATCTAAGTGTAACGCAATATCTTATTTTTGGATCACCCTGAATAGTACGGCTATAGATAAAAAGGCTTCCCCCTAGAAATCAAAATTGATGTGGCCGAGCGTTTTCCCAAAATATACCAGGGGAGTCACAAATGGGAGTGCGACCTTTTCGCTGGGCCACCCTATATAATCGTTGTACTTGTATGAATATTTAGTTTTTAAATAGTTAACTATTGATACGCTATTGATGTCGCTGTCTCACTGCTTCAATAGCAAAACTCAAACATGTTAAACGTTGTGAAAAATCAAAAGCTGATGTGAGTGTCCCTTTTTAAATTAGTAAAAAATGGAAGAACATGTTAGGAAAACCGTCATATACAAACAGTCCAGACTGCTGGAACACCAAAGCACCTCTAAGAGCAGTCCAAAGGGTTGTAAAAGATTTTCCGTATTTAAAATATCTAAAAACAATGCGGGAACGTCTTCAGTGATTGGCTTCGAATCTTGGCATTCTGTCTCTCGGAAGCTAGTTTCAACTCTTTTTTTCTGATCCGTGGTAATTCTCGCGATTCCATACGCCAAAAGACTTCTAAATTACCTCTCTCCTTGCTATGTTAGTTACTATCATCGCAAGATCGTCAGCATACCTTATCAGGTGTATTCCCGGCAGCAACTGCAAACGAAGAACCCCATCGAAAAACACGTTTCAAAGTAACGGCCCTAGGATGAAGCCCTGTGGTACTCCCATGGTTACCTTCATCCTTCTTTTGTCCTGGCGTCAAACTGCACTTCCCACGCAAAGCTGTCATCAGTTCATAAAGGTTTTTGCTCAGCAATTTCGGCCTCTGATAAAATCGTTAGCTACGAACATGTGTAACAAAAAATTAAATGGAACAAGTCAGTCAAACAGGCTCATACAATTAAGAAATTTCGTATACTTTGTTATACAACTTTGGGATTTTTTAGGATATATATACATTTTTCTCAGTTTGCCTAGTTGATATCTCAGAGCTCTCAGCAAGTGCTTGTAGTAAAGTAGTAGTTTTCTCTAAATATTCCGTTTTTCGAGACGAAACAGGCTTTTTGAATGAACCATATTCATTTAAATTTCGAAACAACTCTTAAGAAAATGGACTTACTTGGCTGCCTTCTTTCGGGAATTTTATCAATATACATTTCTGCAGTACTTTTAGTGTTTTTGTATCACAAAATGTAGCACGTCAGCTTGTCGAAATTTTCTTCATTGCTAAAATGACTGCCTAGCATATTTAATGATAACAATACTCGTTGACAGGTATTTACGTCGAGTCAAGCATTTGTTTGCAACGCCTACGTAAAAAAATAAAAGTAATATAACATGTGATATATCGTCGAATTCGTATAAAAAATGCTATTAAATACAGAGTTTACTTTTTTTCAGGCCACATAACAACAAAGCGTCAGGAGCAAAATTTAAATACACCATCATGTAGTGCCCAAAAAGTGCCATAGGAAAAGTCAGAAAAAATAAAAATGATCTGGTCAAATTTTAGTTTTTCTCAAATACCTCAGTAAGCCATCAAATTTTTACAAGTTTCTCAACGGCATGTGAATACGTACCAAAGAACGCAACTTTTCTTAATTTAACCTAGGCATAGGAGACTTATCTTCAACACACTGTAGAAGTGATACAGAGTTTCTTAAAAACTCGACTGGCCTGTGATTGGCGCTACAATACCTTTATTGCTAAGTTTTTATGTATGTTATCTTTCCATTTAGAACATTTTTATTGAATTTCAGGGTGACAATTCAGCTTTTTCCTTAGACCTCATTGACATCTCAGAAGTTTTCTCGATAGAACCTAAGACGGCTGTAGGTAACGCTCGGGTGACAATTCGATTGGCCAACGGTTCCTTGGACTACGAAGACCCCAATCAACGAAAGTTCATTATTCTGGCAGTGGCCAAGGAACTCTACACTGCGGAGGAGCTGTCATCAACAGCCACTGTTACAATTTCTGTGCAGGATGTCAACGATAATGCTCCAACTTTCGATCAAGAAAGGTACTCGGTAACTATCTCTGAAATGGCCAGTCCTGGAGCACTGGTGAGTGCAAAATAGTATTTCTATATTCACAGCGCAATGTTACTTTCATAATAGCTCATGCATACAAATTACTATACTATATTAAGATAATATCTATCATTCTGTATGTTGGAAACATTGCATCGTCTGTCTAACCACAACAAGTATGGGTTTTTGCTATTTCCTCGCTATGAAGCAGCAATATGAACTTTTGCGTCCGATTGTAGAAAAAAATTCTTCAGAAATAGTGAGAATTTGAAAATACAGTAATCATTTTACAGCATATTCATAAAGAAATAAGGGTTTATACAAAACACGTAGAACAAAACTGAAACAGGGCCAAAACTCTTTCACATATTCACGGTTCGAAATTTTGCTCATTTGGCGTATTTTTATCTTAGTATAGCGACCAGTAAAACATGGAGATTGACTTAGATTATACAAATTTATTTGTAAACAAGGAAAAACGGAAAAGAAAATACGATTCTACTCGCACATTTGATTAGTCTCGGATTTATAATACGAAATTTAAATATTGAAAAATACATTCTTTCTATACTTCGTACAACAAGGGCCATCGTTGGTAATAGTCTTTCTAAGAGTCTATGTAACGCGTTTTATATTTTCAGGTTACGACAATTGTGGCAAAAGACAGGGATAGTGGCAATTTTGGGGAAAACGGAATAATATACAGACTTGGTGGAAACGGAGCAGAAAAATTTACCGTGAATAATAGAACTGGGACAGTCACTGTAGCATTTTGCGAAGATCTAGGGAAAGCGAATTGTCTCGATTACGAAACGAAAGCTGAATATCAACTACAATTCATGGTGAGCAGACAAAATTACTCGATATTGCCAAATGTTGAAGAAAACGTAATTTCAACTTGATTTCAACTAAGTTTATAAGAGAACTACATGAATATCACTTAATTTGCATAGATTTATGATTACGGGAATCGGTATTACTTGGTTCAATATCTGTATGAAATAAGATTGAACAACTATCATAAAAATAGTGAATGTTTGACTTTCTTAATAGAGGCCAAGACAATATTTTTATAGGAATATCATGGGAATTCCAACGCTGTGTAATTTGATAGGCCACAGGATCGACGGTCAAGTGCTAAATCAAGTCTTATCACTGTTGTAATTTGATGTTGTTTTCTGTCATGAGAAAGCTTGTATACCGGTTCTTGGGAGAAAAAACCTGATGGGCTGTATCCGCCTGCTTTTTTCGTAACATACCAAAAGGTATTGAATCAAATTGCCTGAGCTTTGTAATGTTAGTAACAACATACTGTACATTGGCAAATGCTGTTAGATATTGATACCGCGTTTATTTTTTTTTAAGTATTCCTCTTAAACGAGACTAATAATTATCCGAACATGCCAAAAACTCAGCAACCATGCATTATTTTTTTTCTAACAAAAGTTTCAGGATATCAAAAAAGCAGTTTATCAAAATATTACGTAAATAATGACCTCACGCGTGTAAACTTAACATCAAAATATCGAGCTCCACTCGACACTGCTGTCAAAAATAGTTGACATTATTTGAATTTGCAAACTTGGTATGAAAATGACCTCAGAGATCATTAACTAGCCCATATTTGAGGTCATTGATACATTCCTTTTTGGATGTTCTGAAATTTTTGTTATAACCTTTCAAATAAGAACCTGGATTCCAAAACTTTCATATATTTGATAAATATGTGATTTATCAGGCTCGAACGACATATTGATACTACAAGTCGAGGCAAAAGTAATGCCATAATGTAAATTTGCTGCCATTCACTTAAAAATGAGAGAAAGGGCTATGTTTTACTAACAGCTCATTCGAATGTGTACAACTGATGACATCTAGTTGAAAAAGTAATATTGGTCAAATATCCACCTTCTAAGTTGCTACACTCTGGTGCCTGTTTTACGGCATTTTGAATGTTGAGAGGTAGACCTTTGACAGATATTATTTTCTCCGCTTGATATAATCATTTCTACACGTTTTATAGTTTCCAAGATAATGCCAGCTAACTTACATTACGAAATTACGCAAATGGATGAATTTCTTAGGCAAGTATCCTTTACATATTTAAACCCAAGCGCAATTTTGTCAAAATCGTATCAGCAATAACAACCAGGTATTTGCGGTTGACTCTTAGACGATCACCGTTTCTCTATGCCTTTTGGGAGAAGTACAACGTTGTCAGATTGTTGCAGTCGAGTTTTTAAATCCATGTATAGGATGATAATATGCGTTATAGCTTTAGGAGGAAATTTAAGCTAAATGTGGTTAATTTTTCAGCTACAGTTATTTATTCCAAACTGATCAATTAAGGACTTCCACAATATCCAGTGATCATTTTTGAACAGATCTTGGGGTCTTAGACGGCTTGATTTTGTTTTCCATAATCGCGTTTGTTGAAAGTCCCTCAACATGAAACAACCGGTAACCTCGATCAAATTTGTTCAAAATGTTTTTAACCAGATTTCAAAAAAATGTTTTTTACACCCGGAAACATTTTTTCGGGTTTCTTGGGTTATTCCGAACAAAAAAGTTACCAGTAACTTTTCTCTAAATTTGTCCGTTCTCGAGTTATATGCGGTTTAATGTTTGAAAACTCGGTTAAAAACTATAATTTTTCAGGTGGCCGAATATTCAAATTGAACCTAAAACCTTGCCCTACAGGACCCCAAAGAGTATTTTAAGATCAGTCCATTTTGAAACAATTTAAGCTTCTTTGTTTGACCAAAATTGCCGAACTTGTGATTTTCGGAGACTATACAGGGTGACCAACTCAGAATGCGAGGTTCTGTATCTGGGAACGTATCCATCGTAGAGGCTTGCGGCAAATACAGTTAGTACTAAAACGGCCAAGAGAAAAACCTGGCAAACATTTTCAAGTTTCTGAAATGGCCGCTAGCGGGCCTTCAATCTTGAATCTAAAACAGTGATGTTTCTGTGAATTTCGCTATATTAACCTAACAAAGAAATACCTTATCTTTAAAGTTGAGGATAATATGAACTGTTTTTGCTTGACATTGTTTCTGTATTTCTAAAAATAAAGTGGGAGGTATTCAAAGGTTTTCGTAAAAAATACCCTCTATCTTCGAAACTGCTGAGCTGCGCTGATTTTAACAAACTTGGTCTAGTTGTAAAGAACAATTCTTGGGCTACAATTGTTATAAATATTTGAAGTTGTGTTAGTTTCACATGTGACCGCTAGATGACTTTTTTCGACATTCCAACAGAAATGGGGAATTTTCTGAAAAAAATTAAATGCATTTGTTTTGTTTTTTTTTTTTAGAAGTATTTAATGATGTATAAACAAGCTCGGGAGAACCGCATATCGATATTTTGTTTCTAACCTAAAATTTAGGCCAAATAAAGATTTATATGGAAATCTTTTGAAGTTTTACTTTTTTAAACTATATTTTCTGGAATCTTTTTTATTCTTCAGAATAAAATCACCCTTTTTGAAAATATTACAAAATATCACTAAAAGGTAAGTAAGTAATGCTAATAACAAAGGGCACATTTTTTGTTTAAATGCATATTCACTATGGATACCCGAACAAAAAGTTAATAGGGGGATACAACAAACAACATGAATGATCCTCAAATTGTCAATAGTTTCGCGTTACCTTGAGCAATTTTTGAGCTTACCAAATGCGTTTTACGAATGATGAAACTGTTGATATGCTTGCAGTTTATTTTGAATGGTTTCAGAATGCCACAGTAGCAAAAAAGAGTTTACGCGACTCAATCTCCAGATCAGCATCTTTGCGATGTGAGAATTTTTCCCCGATTAGTGGTGAGCTTACGAGCCAATAGTAGTTTCCAGTCTACGTTTCAACGGCAACAAATTGGAAGAAAACAAGAAAATATTAACCACGTACTGGGATATATTGAAGGAAATCGTCATGTTAGCGCAAGGGTATTATCCTTTGAGTTGGGCATATCACGAACAACGGTTCAAAATATTTTGAAGGACCATAGGTAAATTCTAATGGCCATCAAAATAAAGGGATTTATTTGAATATATAAATAACCCTTTTTTCAATTACTTTTAGAATTCGCCCATATCATGTCGTTTTGCATCAGTCCTTGAACGAGGAAGACTTTGATCGGAGGTTGAGCTATTGCCATTGAATGATACGCAAAAAAAGATATTTTTTTGTCAAATTTTTTGCATGAAGCCACCTTTAATAGTGACGGGAGAATCAACCCGCACAATATGCGATATTGGTCTGTAGAAAATCTGCATTGGTTACGTAAAGTTCAGCACCAAGGCCGTTGGAGATTAAATGTGTGGTGTATTGACTTTTTGGATAATCAGATACCGTTGTTGTTGGAAGATGTGCCACTAGAAACTCGGCAAAACTTGTTCTTGCAGTTGGATGATTGTCCAGAACATTTTGCCATTATTGTGCCTTGCATATTAATGCAGTATTTCAACAGCGGTGGATTGGGAAAGGAAGTCTGTTTCTATGACCTTCGCGATCACCAGACTTGTCTTGATTTTCATGTATGGGGACGGTTAACGAACGACGTGTTTCAGACTCAACCTACAACCAGAGAAGATATAAAAACCGGATTCGTAATCCAATACGTAACATAGCGAGAGCCGAAATTGAATCTGCAGTTTTGTCTACCCATGAGAGGCTTCAGGAATGCATAGAGCGTGATGATCAGCATTCCGATCAATTACTGGAAATAAAAAACTTTTACATTTTAAATTGGTACTTTTCAGAGCCACAACTCAATAATAAAAAGAAACTCTAGAATACAATTAGTTTAAAAAAATAAAATTTAAGGGATTTCGCTATAAAATTTTCTTTGGCCTAAATTTAAGGTTAGGAACAAGATATCGAGATGCGGTTTTCGCGAGCTTGTTTCTACATCATTTAACTACTTTTTTATAAAAAAATCATAGCAATCCATTTAATTTTTGTTCAGAAAATTAACCATTTCTGTTGGATTGTCGAAAAAGCCCAGTAGCTGCCAAATCTAAAACTAACAAAACAACAAATATTATAACGTTTGTAGCCCAAGAAATAGCTCTTTTCAACTAGCCCAAGTTAAAATCGGCCCAGCTTAGAGAAACAGCAAACAAGAAAGGTTCAGATTATCCTCGAATTTAAAGATCAGGAATTTTTTGTTAGGTTAATATAGCGGAATTCACAGAAACTTCACTTTTTTAGATTCAAGATTGCACTTGCTCCCTCTAGCGGTCAGAAACTTGAAATTACCATTTAGGTTTTTCTCTTGGTCATTTATTATAACTGTTATTGCAGCAAGCCTCTACGATAGATAGATACCCAGATACAGTACCTCGCATTCTAAGTTGGCCACCCTGTACGAAAAAAGCTCAACTTTGGCAGCCCGCCAGTCCTTTTTGAAAGCTAGTAAATTTAAATTATAGGGTTTTAAAGTACTGACTGAAATCTGATGATTTCATGAACGAGCTGTATAACAAAAAATTACGTATACATTTTTTCTAGGCAACTGATGATGATGGCACTGGCCGCACCTCAACAGTACCTCTACGGGTGATTCTCACAGACAGCAACGACAACCCACCTGTATTCAGTCAATCGGTGTACAGGGTTTTCGTTGACGAAGGTACCGTTAGGTTTAGGAAGGACCTTTACGTTGAGGCTACTGACGCCGACAAAACCTCCCACGTCACTTACTCCATCATAGCTGGAAACGATCAAGGACTGTTCGCTATCGATTCTAATACTGGGAAAATAAGGATTACCAATAATAGAGGACTGGATGTCAGCAATGAGACGGATAGTGTTGTCTCACTCACTGTTTTGGTAAGTCATAGATAAAACAAAAAACCACAAAGGACAAGCATGTACATATTTTGCGTTCGTTAGGAAATGTAACTTTCCATAGTAGCAACTTCAAAATGTATATTTATATCGTTGCTGCTTGTCAATCTTTAAAAATGTCTAATAACTGAAAACATACCGTTGATAATTTCACTTGTATCGCTACGCCTTTATCACACACTTATGAAAATGAAAGTACGTCATGCACTCGGTCTTTTGTCGCTTTCTCTTTCGCTTTCAGGGCTCTATTTATATACAGGGTGTTTCAGAAAGACGTGTCAATATTTCTAGGGTAGAAAGTACATCAAAAAATAACAAAAATAGCTCCCATAAAGATGCTCCCCTACCGAGATACAGGGTGATGAAGTTTTATTCACGAAATTGAAAAATGATTATATCTACGGAGTGGGTAAAGATAGTTAAGAGCACTTTCCACCTTAGCTCAAATGCAGTTCCAGGATATCTCGCTTCATTGTTTACCGATTTTGATGCAGTTTTCAGCTCAATAACTCAGATGAACATTGTCAAGTTCGGAAAAAAGCTTGTTTTTTTGATGGTCATTTTTTTGTCAAAAATAAATTATATCTCATAAACCGTAACTTTTTTTGTGGAATCTAGTAGTTTCCGAACAAGAAAACTATTATAACCAACTTCCAAATTTGAAGCTTCTATGTTCAAACAAAACAACTGAGAAAATCAGGAACTACGAAATATATTTTCTTATCCCGTGAAATAGTGTCCCCTAACAACTAGCCGTTTTAACTCGATACAACGGAGTGTGGCCGATGGTGTGACCTCATTAAGAAACGTTTGAGCCAGCAGCGTACCCGTGGGGGTATAAAAGGGATGATCGGCAGGTATCGGCCTAATTCAAACTGAACATGCGTTAGTGACTGCTTTTAGTGAGTTGTAGCCCTGTTCGTACAGCTGTCACCAGGCTGTCAGTGATCGTTACGCTATATAGACAGAATTTACAAGGCCGGATCCCAGACACTGTCACAGATAAGTCACCGACTGAAAATAACTCTGCAAGTGAACAGGGTATATACTAGTAAAAAAAGGAGCAGGAGGCTCAAGAAATGATATTAAAGGTAAATATATTGCAATTATATTCTTTTTAACTGGCTTGGTAGATATGAATCTAATTAGTTAAATGTAAGCTTCAATATAATTTTTGAGAAACTGAACTTGTATTTGATCGGAATTTTTTCGTAAATTACATTTGTTTGAAGGTTCTTGTAGATTGTAGAAAGTTAGACTTCATCACCTGTATTTTATATCTTATCGTCATGATGATTACACTACTTATATATTTATAAGAACTTCTTTGTTTTTTATGTATTTTCTACCCTAGAAATATTGGTGCGTCTTTCTGAAACAGCCCGTATTGATTGATCGTTGTACTTACTGGCTCTCATTTTATAACACCACTAATAATGTATTTCCATTCCACTTTAGGCAAATGATGGCAAATTCACAGCAACTACCCTAGTAAATATAACAGTTGTTGACGTAAATAACAACCAACCAGTTTTTGTTAAGGAGAGCTACGTCACATCTATACCAGAAGATATTCCAATAGGTAAGTTATTCCTTTTCAGAGCTAAAACTCGAGTACTCAATGTGTCTTAGGCGGCTTGATTTGACCAATATTAATAATAGACGCGTGCCGGATCCTGAAGATTTTTTAAATCGTTCATATGTGTTTTCAACAAGACTCTTGTCTCTTTAAACACTTTACCTCATACTACTGTAAATAGTCTAACCATATTAGCAAATATCCCCAAAATTCGTAATTGTAATGTTTGGTTTTATCAGTACAAGTTGTTCAGGGGGCATTTAAAACCTAGGCGCATAAAATGGGTACACCAATTTTTGTAGGAAAACTGTTGGCCTGAACGAAAAAACTCTTCGAATAAGAGTTGCAGGTACTTAAGATATCTACAAAATGACACCACACATAAAAAGATCCGATTAAAAGCAAAACAGTGAAAATGCAGTGTCCGGCACTTATTGGTAACGCGATGGTAGTCACGCAAATACTTGAAATTCCTCAAATCCGTATCTTATACTTCTGAATATCCACAACAAAAATGGAGTCGATCGGTCAAGTAGTGTTTGAGAATTTCTAATTGTTTGTTTCAAAACACGTTTTCCAGCAATATACGTATACAACAGTGTTCGTTTAAAGAGCATTTTATAGAAAAATGATATTTTTATGCGAAAAACAGAAAGTTACGTTTTTTGTTATTAACAAATTCATTTCTTATTTTGTTGCAAAAAAATAATTTTCAAATTCATGGGAAGTCAGATGATATAAGGCCCCAATACCTATCTATTGTGAAAAAACTTTCAAGCGCAAGTGCAACTTAACTATCAGGTTTAGGGCTGGTATGGGCTAAATGGTTGGTCTTACCAATTACTATATCATTTTGTATCAGAGCTTAATAAAAATCGACGCAAGAAATTGTCAACTCATTTTTTGTGAAAAATATCCCTTAATATTGGAGGGCGGTCAAAAAAAATGGGGTTGTATTTCATTATGCATTTTATTTTTCCTGTGGAATCAGGCCTCAAAATTGTTTGTGCTATGATAATTGCCTCACGTTAAAAAAATGTCAATATTATATGCAGGTAAGTATCGATGTATGTAAACAAGAAATTGTATTTCACAGGCTGCAGTCCAAACAGCTTGATTGATTTTGTTATCTGAGGTGTCGTTAGATTCGTCTTCGCAGTTCGAGTGATACTGTGTATATCAAATGTTTTTAAAATCAAAATGCCGGATTTTTAACGCAAATAGCCTAATCGGCGTAATGGATTTAGAAAATCAAGGTGCGGGACCGTTCAGTCTTCGGTCCGACCGAAATTAGAAAGTCCGGAAATGATCCAGCGCAGGTTTTATATCATACATTTGGCATCTGAGTAGAATCTTCGCATACCCTCCGCGAGATTATGCAGACATGCATTACTATTATGGTGCTGCTCTAGGAAATGCTTGAGCAGCTGCTCGTATGTATCGGGAGCATGTGGTTGGTGGTATATCCCAATTACCACGTTTTCTTACGCATCTATAATGGATGGCTGCATACCAGGCACTCATGGTCATGAAGGAGTACTGAGGATAGACCCAGACGAAATAGACACACATTACAACGCTCATAGTCACCCCAACGACATGAGTATCTAATGAAAGGACTTGATGAGAGAAACACTATAAGCATAGTGATATCAGGACCAATTTCACCAACATTAATATTATGGACCAATGGGAAAATACCTTATCGAAATGCAATTTGACAGAAGCTGTCAAAGGTCTCTGATTTACAGTGATTTCTATTAAAATATTGAATAAAATCGTGAAAATTCGACTGTATTATAAACAAGACCACTTTTTGATTCCAACATGATGCTTTTGTACAGAGAAAACAGGACAACTTTCATGTATTTTGATTTCTGTTATAAATTTACATTTAACTATCAGTTATCCCCAAAGCCAATGGGAATGCGGCAAATAATAGGTCGATTTTCTAGCTGTTAAATTTGACAGCAGATTTGGACGTTTATTAATGCATGGCAAATCTCGAATTTAAGTTCAATATACTGATATCATTACATACCTGTTGAATAGTGTGGATTTGCCTGTATTTTGCAAGAAAATACAATATAAAATACATTCCATCCAATTCCTCATCTTCCTTTACATCATAATAGTAATCATTTATTAATTTACGGGCTAATGAATTTCTTCAAAGCAATAAAAACATTCACCTCTCCATCCAAAAACACAGATAATATGTGTAAGACGCGTCAAGCCCTACATCTCCGTGATGCATAATGCAATTCCTATGGACATAGACAAAAAATTATGAAAAATGTCTCACAAATAATGTCTTTTAAGTCCAAAAATCATAAAAACATGAATCAAATCCAAGCGAATAACCAAAATTTCTGTGTTATGTGCTGCGGTTATAATATGGTTCAAGATGACACACGGGTTGATGACGTCAGTTACACGAATCGCTTGAACGCGTTGGTTTTAACCGCGGTTTTGTTGCAATTTGCTTATTTTAGAAAAGCGCGTATATAATCTCTGATTATTTTTATTATCACTTAATAATCGGTGCTTTTTCGTCTATATGGAAAGTTTAAATAAGAAACCTTTCATAATATTCATGGGAGAAATGTTTTTTCAGATTTTTTTTAATGATGGAACCATGGCTTTGTAGCTATGATAACTTTCAATTCTCTAATTTTTTCCGCATGTCAAAGAAAACATTTATTGATTCAGCAGAAATGATGAAAAAAGAAATTAGAAAAACCGTATACAGGTGGATATCATCTAGTGAGTTTATATGGCCATATTTTAATATTCTTGTGGTATATGGCTACACAGGATACTTTGTTAAGCATAGGAACAACATTTAAAGTGTCCCCAACAACCGTAATAAGTATAACTAATAAGGTGCTCCACTTTATGGTAAAACTGAGGTCAGCCTGTATCATTTTTGTCAAAAATGAAGCTGAAGTACAATAACAATATCCAATACCCGGCAAAATTCCAGTGGCGGCTCGTGATTTTACAAATAGGTGACGCAGGATTGACCGACCCCCCCCCCATACCATGTAGAGCGCATACACAAAAAAAAACATGAAATAACTTACCTAAATTCAGTAACTCGAAAACAAAGTCAGGATTATCAGGCACTTTTCATTGTTTATATATGAGAGCAATTCGTCGGTCCTTCAAATTAGCAAACTTATTTATAACGTCATCGTAAAACGGCTGTGACACTATCAGTTCATTTAATAATTCTTTTTCGATCGATATTTTTGCCAAGTTCGTCAACCGATCTTCCGACATGGTACTTCGTAGATAACTTTTGATTCGCTTAAGGCATGAAAAACTGCGTTCTGTCGAAACACTTGTTGATGGAATGGTCAGTATTAAACACAAAAGCTTATATGCCTCCTTGAAGATACTGCGATTCTCAAATAGCGATTCCTTTAATAAGCGGGGTTCCATATTTTGATATTGATCATCGCTATAGATCAGCTGCAATTCATTTTTCAGTCTCTGAAAATCTGTGAATGTATTTGAATAAAACTCCTTCAAATTACTTAGGGCTTCTGTTGGAAATTTTTCTGAATATGTTTTGAACTTCGAAGTGTCCATTAACGTCACAAAATGAAGCTTTTCCATATCTTGGAAACGGGTCGTGATTTGCAGAGAAATGGTATCCAAAATTTCAAAATACAGCACTCTATATCTTTCAATAATTTGATCCCGAGACAATGTTACTCTTGTCCTGCCGTCGCGGTGTTCCGTTTGTACACTTGTTTTTGATGCAGCCAATTCGAAAATATTCTTAAATGTTTCTTCATTTCTCTTCTTGTTTAATTGTGTTTGAACACTTTTAATTTGCTTAATGCAAAGGTTTATATCAAAAGATTTTTTTTGCAGTGTGTCGAATAGTATATCTGTCATTCCAAAGATCTCGTTAAAAACAACAACCAAAAGCACGAATTCGAAGTCATGGAATTTATTTAGAAATCCGTCGCTCTGTCTAACCGAGGCTTGATCGGAGGTTGGATCATTAATAATTTCAGTAAACACTTGCTTTAAGGAATCCCACTCCTTATTTATAAAACTGATAACTTTAGAATTTGATGTCCATCGCGTAATAACGGAAACAGGTATTCGACGTCCTATTATTGAGTCTGCTACGTTAGTTCGTTTCGGAGAATGGTGAAAAAATGTCGGTAAACCACTTATAGTTGCAAAAAAATGCGGCATTTTGTAATACTATTGCAACTTTGTTGTAACACTAGATTCATGCGGTGTGCGAGGCAATGAACAAAAACTGCTTGGGGTGCCTGTTCCTTTATTTTAGCCTGAAGACCATTTAACTGTCCGGACATGACGCTTGCACCATCGAAACATTGTCCAACGAGTTTTGTTTTGTAATCAAAATTTTGTAGACACCTTGTCACGAGGTTAAATAAAATGCTTCAGATGTTCGGCTGCAGCTTACATCATGAAATCCTAAAAATCTCTCCACAAGTTTTCCTTCAAGATTGACATAACGGATTATTATGCTGCACTGCGATTTGTGGGCAATATCGGTGGAATCATCCACCTGAATGGAAAAAAAACTGCATTCCTTTATTTCATTTTCCACATATTCATCAATGCATTTGACAATGCAGTCAATAATTTCGTTTTGAATGGTTTTAGAATTGCCCGCAAATATTGAGGCAATTTTTTTGTAGTGCTCCTGAATGTCTACAGGGCTTATAGATACAAATGCTTCTAGGAGCTCTTTGAAATTTCCACGGTTAATAGAAGTCGTCTCTTCGTTGTGGCCACGAAACGCCAGTTCTTGTTTGCCCAAAAAAAGGACAGCGCGTATTGGCAATTCCATGAAACGTCTATTAAGTTGCACGTTTTCGTTAAACTGTTTAATATACAGCCTGGAATTTTCGCGTAAAGCATCCTCAATAGTAGTAAGATTTTTCTTCAATTTTGAAAAACCTAGTGCGCAACGCATATGATCCGATGATCCTTCATGTTTACGAAGA